TGAGTATTCTTATCAGAATGGAGGCCTGAATCATCACATGCTTTTCAGTACTGAGTATTCTTGTGGCATTTACCTGAAGATACCAGCAGTGCTCCATCCTTATTGTTTTTGTGTTTCATTTACTGGGTGCAGTTTTCAGACTGTACTAATGTTCAGTTGGTACCTTGTTAGCAAATGCCAAGTTTATATTTGAGACTGTAGTTCTCTTAATATATCTTGAAGTAAATATACCTTTCACATACCCTTAAATTTTCATGAGTCTCTGCACGCAGAGTTCAACATTTGTTGGGCAAGTGTCTGCTTGTTTCTTTTTAATGATATATAAAGTTCACTTCTTCCTGTTAAATCACATCTGAAAGACTATCCTGAATTAATTGCTTTTGTTACATTAGTGCCTTACTGTAAATCATCTTCATTTTTATAGCACAGCAAGCTGAATCAGCTGAACTGTCTGCTCACAGCTTTTTCTTTTCCTCTTATAGACCAATATTCACTGATTTACTGAAACTTGTGGTCTCATAAAATTCACATCTTAATCATACTGTATGGATGAACTACAGTATGTGATGCAGTCATAGGGTTAGATTATTTTATTATCCAGAGCTCTGGTTGGTATCTTGGCTAAACCATTACAGGAAAATAATGAAGCTATTGATTTCTTTAGTCGGCCATATTGATTATGTTCAGTGGGTGTGTTTTTATATTGTAATTTGTACAAGGGCAATGTTAAATGCTTATTTCCAAGGTGTTTTATGGAGTTTTCAGCAATAGTTCATGGATTATGAGTAACTCCTGCAAAACTATTTGCATTCATGCACAATTTTTACTTTCAATGTAATTTGTTCATTATGGATGCCAGTTTACGTTCATGCCTGAACATTTCCTTCATAAGTTAAAGTACTGTGCTGATGATTATCATTTAAGCAGCATCAAACAGAAACCTGTATAGGTCTGTTTTTAAATGTAGTCAGTACTAGTCATGATAGGATGATACATGCATTTGAATAGCTTAAAGAAGGGCAGATTTTTGTAAAGTAGTGTGATATTGATTTTTTTTTTAAATTAAGCTTGTTAAAAATACTGAAAAATAAATGCCTTTAAAGAGAGGAAGGAGGTTGTAATGTGTGAATGCAAACATTGATAATGGTAAACTTTTAGCAGTATGTGTAATAGACTTTTATTTTTTTTTCTTGTTCAGTTTAGCAGTAATTTATTTTTAAAGTAATTTTATTTTTTAAATCTATGGCTAAGTATTCAGTGATTTTATTGGAAACATCTTTTACAGGGAGCCGATTCAGATAGTGGCACATCCAGGGTTTTGGAAAGGGTTGGCTTTCTCTTTGCTGCGCGTTCGAGAGACATGACAGGCTTGAAGTTTTCATCATCTAATGAACCGCCAGAGGTTTCCTGAGAATCGGTGCACCTCTTCCTCAGCTCTTTAGGAATGTAATCCATCCCTGAATGTAGGAGAATGAGATTGCACAGTGAACATCAAAAGAATGTATTACATTTGTGTTTTAGTAAAAACCCAATGATCTTAAGAGGACAATAACAATAAGTTAATGGGCAAACATGGATAGAATAAAATAAATTCTATTTTCTTCCTTTCTCATTAGCTTTATTGTAGAGTCTAATTCTGTTAAATATTCCAGCTCAAGTGGGTTGAAATATATTTTCAATTTTAACTAAATTAACCAAGGAAACTAAAATAAAATACAATATTTTTTTGAAATCGATCATTTTGTCTCCCTTAGAAGAATGCAAAATATACATTTCACATTGCCATATATATTGCACTTTATATAAGAATCCTCTCAATTGCCATGAATATATAATAACGCTTCAGAATGTTCATTCTGCATCTTTTATTTATATATAAATAAATAAATGCAAGTGGAATCATTTGGGGAAATACCAAAGTTTCCTTACAGTTGTTTGGTTTTGGTTAAATGAAACAAAATCTCCCGTATTCTGACCTAGACTTCACTGTGAATGAATCAGAAACTCAAGCTCCCTCTCTTTCTTCAGGTCAGTCTCCTTCATCGTCATGTTTTCTATGACAGCTTATCACTCTCAGGTGGTACTTTTTTCCAGACAAGGTTTCAGTGGCTGGCAGCTCTGAGATTGTCGGAAAGGAAACAAATAAAAGAAAATATTAACTTCTCAAGTTTATGTCCCCAGTGGTGCTGCATAATCTGTCTTACATTTCAATCATATGTCAGTCTTGGTTGTGTTTAAGATGGCAGTCATGGGTGATGTGGCTTGGTGACAACTTAAGAATGGGGAATGAAGCTGGAAGAGTCCCAGTCCTCACTTTTCTGATCATGGGAGGATGTAGCCAGCGGTTTGGAACTTGATGTGCGCAGAAACGACTCTGCTAACCTGCCAGTAAGCTCTGTCAAAGATGAGATTTAGTCTTAGAACGATAGGGTTCTACTGAACATCAAGGTATTATGACCCATTTATTGTATGTGTAGCAGGCTGATATACTTATTCCTGATCTAGATTATCAAGGTGGGAAAAATAAATATGCAAATGTTTGCAGTTTTTTTTCTTCAGGCCTGAAATTTAATTAACCAATTTGAATGTTTGGAGAGCTGTGACGGAAGCCCATGACCCGATGGCACAGATGTCATCCTCTTAACCTCGTATCTTTATCATTAGAAAACCAGGAGCAAAGGATAGAACCACAAAGACACTGCGAAGTTTACTGCATCTTGCCGGTGTAAGCAAGGTATTAGGCAACAGTTCCAGAAGATGGTGATGTACATCCACCCACCCCAGTTTATGAACCTATTTCAGTCACTGAAACTCTGGAAGGTGAATAGTGAATCATAAACACTATTTTTATTATATCTTATTTGGAAAAATACTACTTTTCACAGACATTCACTGAAAATTAACTTAAAAATATATAACCATTAAGAATTCTTGTGTGCTCTGTTAGAGTTTTTTCTTAAGATAATAGTTTTTGATGATGAAAATAATTTGAAAAATAAAAAACATAAAATAGGCAACCAGACAAACAATATAGCTTACCTATGATTCATAGAAGACTTCAAGTTATGTTGGAGGTAAAATGGTAAGTGGAAGAGGAGTGGAATCCAGTTA